TTCCAGTATAATAAATCAAGCTAAACGTCATAAAACTGACTATAATCATGATAGAAATCGCTAAGAATCTGGACACACAATATGCAGCTCCAAGATCAGGCTGCTCTTGTATCCAAATCAAAGTTAATTGAAGAATTATTCTACTTGAACTACTTGGACAGTACTGAAGTGTTGCATTTAGTTCAGATTGCATAACAAATCAAAAACAAGAAGAAAGAACACGTTTTCCCTCAATTTCGAAAATTAGGTACTGAAGTTATGCAGTTGAAATTCCTTAAAATTTACCTTTATATGAGTTTCTGATTTGGGCCGACTCTCCGAGGATAGAAGATTTGGGCCGACTCTCCGAGGAAGGAAGCTACTCTCCGAAGAAGGAAGCTGGAGGAAAGACGAAATGGGTGTGTGAAACTGGTCGACAATGCCTGTTCTTCACCTGAAATCAGCTAGGGGACTCTGGTAGAAGATGAAAATGTTTGATTTCAGGTGTGATTTTGGGTATCGAAGAGGAAAGTGGACACGGCTGAAGAGGAACGAAGCTGCAGGTATCGAAGAGGAAATACGCCGCTATTTGCCCTTTCTTTCTTTCAATAATGATAGACAGACATTTTCATTTTTCCCTCCAAAACTTAAAAAAATCATTTATTTTAAAACCCTGTTTTTTAGTCTGTCTACGAGTCTGTCCAAGTAGAATAATTCATATTTATAGCAGCTATTATGGATGACGTATCTTCTTATTAGCATAGTGAATGAACACGTGTGCCCTCGTCCTCTCCTAAAAATCAGGCTTTCACGAAGGATTACGGGTGTACTTAATGAATTAAGCCAAATGTACACAAAATAAGTTAACAGAACTTATACAACCTCTCACATGAGGTGGGTCTCATATGGGACCGAGCTCATTAAAAAATGGATAAAAAATTTCTCGACCCCACACCTTGTGAGTGATCGGTGGGGGTTCACACCTATGTAAGTCCAGCAGAACTCGTACTTAGAGCTTGTTTAGTGTACATTAAAATGAGAGAATGCATTTTTTTGAAGTGATGTGATGGGGAATATGTGGTTGAAAATAAAGGAAAAGCTATTGTTGTGATGGAAAATATTATTTTATCAAAAAATGTGTGGTTGAAAATGAGTAAAAGAATGCGAATGAAAAAAATAATGTGGGTCAAACAGGGAACGATCACAGATATCAAAGTGTCCATTTGACTACAGAAATAAAATTTGGGTGGAAATAAAATGAATTTTAGTGAATTGAATTGTCTATAACTTATTTTATTGGGAATTTTGTTTGATTAGTATAATTTTTCATTTGAAAAATATTGAAATTTTGGATCTTTTGGTATTCGTTTGATTTTGTTTTCCATGAAAAATGTCCATTAAAGGGATATAATCAGTTTTCATTGCCAATTTTTTTTTTTAAAAAATTATCTTTTCAAAAATCAAGAAAATGTGAGCATGTGGGTGAAAGAT